ACTAGAGGGCTTAGGGGGGCAGGGCCTGGGGCGTGGCCTGTGGGAAAGCGTAGGGCGGGGCTGGATCTTTTGAGTGGGTGGGTCTCAGGGACTGTGGGCGGGGCCTACGGGCTGGGCGGGTCCGTGAGCACACAGAGCCCCGCCCCTCCCAGGTCCACCCAGCTGCGCGCGGTGGGGAGTGGGGGGTGCGAGTCCCCTCTTGGCGCTGACACCTGCACGCAAGGGGCGTGAAGACACTCGGATCCGCGCCAAGCCCTTGCGGTGAGTCCCTCTTGGGGTGCGTCCCACGGCCCCAGAAGCTGGGTAGTGGGGTTAGGTCTCCACCCACCTGCGTCCCCTCCTGCCCAGGGCTCTCACCGCACCCCCACCTTCTGTGCACGGGGGCCTGGAGAAGAATAGGGAATGTGTAAGTCGGGGCATTTAAAAGCGGCTTTATTGTGGTGTGGTTGGTATACAAGAAACCACACATCTAAATTTGGTAAGTTTTGACATTTGTATACACTCGTGAAACCATCACCATAATCCACGCAGTACACACTCCAGTCCCACCCTTGGTACTCCCTCCCCTCCTTACCCCCCTCCCAGGCAAGCGCTGATCTGTCTGTCGCTGTGGATTCAGTTGGCATTTCTTATCATTTATGTACATGGAATCACAGGTATGTGCTTTTTGGGTCTAGTTTCTTTCCCTCAGCAGGATTATGTGTTTATCAAGTTGTTCCTTTTAGGGCTGACTAGTCATTCATCCTAGGAATGTTCCAGTTTACGTATCTATTTGCCTGTTCCTGGACATTTGGGTTGTTTCCATTCGTTGCCTGTTACAAATAAAGTGATACAAACATTGTGTCCTACCGTTGTTTGGACAAATACTCATTTCTCTTGGGTAAATATCTGGGAGTGGGATGGCTGAGTCACCGGTAGCTGTAAGTTAATGTGAAAGAAACGACGGGATGATTGTACAAGTTTACATTCCTGCCCACAGTGTGTGCTCACACCCTCACCAGCACTTGGCATGTCAGCCTTCTTAATTTCAGACACTCTACTATGTGTGTACTGGTATCTCATTGTGGTTTGACTTTGTACTTCCCCGGTGACTAATGATGGTGAGCATCTTTCATCTGTTTTTTGGGTTTGTTTGGGGGTTTTTTTTGCCATCTATCTTCTTTAGGGAAGTGCTCTGTTCAGATCTTTTACCCACCTCTAAATGAGTTGTTTTCTTATTTTGAGTTTTGAGAATTCGTTATATATTCTGGATACAAGTCCTTTATCAGATATGTGATTTGTAAATATTTTCTGTGAGTGTGTGGCTTGTCTTTTCATTCTCTTAAAAGCTTTTCAAAGAGAAGGTTTTAATTTTTATGAAGTCCAATTTATCAATTTTTCTTATATGGATGGTGCTTTTGGTGTCATATGTAAGAAATCTTTGCCTAACTCAACGTCACAAGGGTTTTTATAGTGTAAGTTTTGCCTTTGGTTTTAATATCCAACTTGAATTAATTTTGATACATGGTGTGAAATATGAGTCCAAGTTTATTTTTTGTGTGCATATGGATATTCAGTGTTCCAGAACTGTTTGTTGAAAAATTATTTCTCTACTGAATTACTTTTGTACTTTTGTTGAAAATCAGTGATCCATATCTGTGTGAGTCTATTTCTGTACACTCTGTGTTCATTTGGTCTATTTGCCTATTTTATGCAAATGTTCCAAGCTGTCTTCATAGCTGGATCTTTATAATAATTCTTGAAATCGGGAGATATAAATTTTCCAACTTTGTTCTTTTATAAAGTTTTTTTGGTCATCCAAGATGTATTTCCTCATTTTCCCAACTTCTACTAAAAAAAGCCTAGTAGGATTTTGTTTGGGATTGCATTGATTCTATAGGTCAGTTTGAGAGAATTAACATCTTGACAATATTAAGTCTCCAATCCATGAACATGGTATATCCTTTCATTTATTTAGAGCTTATTTTCTTTCATCTGGCTGGGTTTTATAGTTTCTGGTTACAGACCTTGCACATCTTTTGTCAGATTTACCTCTGATTATTTATTGTTAATGGCATTTTTGTTTTAATTTCTGGTTTTTAATTACTAATATGTAGAAGCAAAATTGATTTTTGTATTCTGATCTTAACTTTGCTAAACTCATTTATTAGCTCTAGGAACTTTTAAATAAACACTTCAGGATTTTCTACATATGCAATCATCTTCTCTGTAAATAAAAAGATTATGAGTTCTTTCTCTCCAGTTTGGGTGTGTTTTAAATTCCTTTTCATGCCCAATTGCACTGGCTTGAGACTCTAGTTTAATACTGACCAGAAGTAAGAGGAGATCTCCTTGTTCCTGATATCAGGGGGAAAGGAAAGCATTCAGTCTTTCACCATTAAAAACAATGTTGGCTGCAGGTTTTTTGTATGTAGCTAACCTTGTCTGTGTGAGGAAGTGTCCTTCTATTACTAGTTTGCTGAAAGTTTCTACCAGAAATGCTTGTTGGACTTTGTGAAATGTTTTCTGCATTTATTGAAAATCTTTTATTATTATTCTGTTAATATTATGGATTATACTGATTGATTTTCAAGTGTTAAGTCGACCTTGTGTCGTTGGGATAAATCACAAGAAATCTTTGCCTACCTCAGATTCACATGGTGAGTATCATTTTATAAGTTGTTAAACTGTTCTGTACAGATGGAACTTCTGAGGTTATTGTCGTTGGGATAAATCACAAGAAATCTTTGCCTACCTTAGATTCACATGGTGAGTATCATTTTATATGTTGTTAAACTATTCTGTACAGATGGAACTTCTGAGGTTATTTTTTTCCTTGATTGAATGTTGATAGTTTGTATTTCTTAAGGAATTGTCCATTTATCTAAATTGTTGAATTTATCAGCATGAAGTTGTTCATAATATTCTGTTATTAATCTTTCCATGTACAGTGATGTCACCTTTCTCATTCCTGGTATTGGTCACTTGTGTCTTCGCGCTTTTCTTTTACTCATCAGTCAGGAGAGAAATTTGTCCATTTTATGGATATTCTCAAAGAACCAGTTTTTTGTTGCATTGGTTGCTCTATTGTTTTCCCTTTTTTATTGACTTCCACTATGATCTGTATGCTTTCTTTTGCTTACATTGGGTTTAAGTTTCTCTTCTTTTTCTGGTTTCTTAAGGTGGAAGCTAGGTCACTAATTTGAGGCCTTCTTCTTTAATACAGGCTATAAATTTCCCTCAAAGTCCTGTTTTCTATGCACCTCCAAAATTTTGATACGTTGTATTTTCTTTTTTTTTTATTGATTTCAGAGAGGAAGGAAGAGGGAGAGAGAGATAGAAACATCAATGATAAGATAGAATCATTGATTGGCTGCCTCCTGCACACTCCCCACTAAGGATCGAGCCCGCAACCTGGACATGTGCCCTTGGCTGGAATCGAACCCAGGACCCTTCAGTCCGCAGGCCGACACTCTATTCACTGAGCCAAACCAGCTAGGGCGATATGTTGTATTTTCATATTCATTGGGTTAAAAATATTTTCTAATTTGCCTTTTGATTTCTTTTCTTTTTGCGATCTATGGATTTAGAAGTGTGTTATTTTGTTCTCAGACATGTGGGTATTTTCCAGAGATCTTTCTGTTTTTTACTTATAAATTTAAATCTATTGTTGTTGGAGAACATACTCTGTATGTTTTGGACCCTTTACATTTGTTGAGACTGATTTTATGGCACAGAATAGGCCCTTTGTTCATCATTGTTATGTGTGCACTTAAACATGAGTTCTATTGTTGCTCAGTGGAATGTTGATGAGGTCAAGTCTGCTGATGGTATGATATTCAACTGTTCTATATTATGACTGACTTTCTGCCCACTTGCTCTATTAATTACTGAGAATGGGGTGTTGCAGTCCTCAGACTCTGATTGTAGATTAATCCTTTTCTCCTTGCAGTTCTGTTTTGTTTTGTTTTTGTTTTTTTGTTTTTTTTGCTTTATGCACTTTGAAAGCCTATATTCAGATTGTGTCCTCTTGATTAAATGGTCACCTTATCATTATAAAATGGCCCTTCTTACCCCCAGATTCTTTGTCTTGAACTCTGCTCTGTCACTAACAACCACCCCAGCCGTCTTTTCATTAGGTTAGCATGGGCTACCGTTTTCCATTGTACTTTTAACCTCGAGCGTCTTATACTTGGTTTCCTTCGGGATTTCCATCGCATTCAAGTATCTTTTTTAATATATTTGTTAACTACAAAGGTGAGAATAACAACCTTACAGTGGAGAAACCACCTGACTCTGTGGCCAAGGTTAAATCCTCAGTAATAGGACAGACAGCCATCATGTAGCCTCTTGATGCGATGGACTGAGAAAGACCCAGCATCACTTTGTGGTGTTCTTGCCCCAAATGCACAATCTGCCATCGTGAGAACACTCCGGACTCACATCGAAAGACGGCTACAAAGGACTGATCAGTACGCTCCACAAATGAAGGAAGCGGTCGTAAAAGACAAGAAAGGCCCGAGTCACTGTTACGGACTGGAAAAGACGAAGGAGAAATAGCTAAATGCAGTGTGGGCCCTCGAATAGACAAGGACGTTCGTGGAAAAACGAGTGACACTGACCAAGGCCGGTGGTTCCGGGTCCTGCTTTCCCACGGATGACGTCCTGCTTCAAAGCTCTTGTGAAGGGATAATTGGGGCAGTTGGGCGCCAGTCTGTCTGCCTCTCTTTCTTCCCCTTTGATCCTGGGTCCTCTTTTCCTGACTTCCCTTGCATTGAACATTTTTTGGTCCATTTTCTCTCCTTAGCTGTCTCCTGTCTGTAATGGTCGCTGTGTCGTTTCCTGCTTTGGGGGATAGCGTCCGGCATCACAGTCCTTCGCCAGGCCACCCTGGGCCACTCCACCAGTGAGAGCCCAGCAGCCCGTGCGCACCCCTGGGGCCTGTGCTGTGGTCGTACAGTTTATGTCCACATGTGCGGGAACCCCACAAGACATTATTCTTTCTGCCTTACACAGCCAACCGCCTTTTAAAGAGATTAAAATACTGTCAGCCAGGAAGCTGTATCCACCCGGCCAGACCCAGGCTGCAGGTATGTTATTTTCTGGGCAATTCAAGAGGTGCCAAAGGGAGTCCCCAAATTATGGAATATTTTTAATATTTAAACAAAGCATATGGTGACCACCAAGAGAAGGACAGTGTGGATGTGGGTGAGTGGGAGGGAGCAGACACTCAGAGCTCACACTGTCTGTTTCTGTTTATGGAAAGCTCAGGAGCAGGCAACACTCCAGGGTGGTGGACCTCAGGATGGGGATGGGGATGGGGAGGGGCTCCTGGGGTGGGTGTTATGTATCTGGATCTGGGTGCTGCTTGTTAACATAAAAAATCCACCAGCGGATCACACTCACGTGTGCAGTGACGAAGGTGGCCGCTCACAGGGGAGTCCACGTGTGAATGACGTACACGTGGACGGGTGGATGGATCAGTCAGTCCCAGGTGCCCGTGTAAGGCTGTGTTGAGCTGTCTCCCGGCCCTTGGTTCTGTGGCCTCCTGACTAGTGATGATGTCAGAGGTCCACAGAGGCTCTGGCTGCCGGCCAGGCCCAGGCTGCAGGCCCTGTGAGAGCCTCGCTCGCTGTCCACTCCAGGCCATGAGTCAGTGTTCCCAAACACACCGGCACCTTCCAGTGCCATCCCGGCTGCGTGCTCTGCCCACCGGGCCACCCTTCTTACTGTAATTGGACTCTGCGCTGATTATCTGGCCTATTTATCCACCCGGAACCCGGCGTCGTGGCCCCAGGGAGCGAATGCAGCTCTGCGGCTGGTTAATTGCCTGCCCGTCAGGGAGGCTGTTTTGCAGGGTGAGATCTGAGTGCTGCTCTCTGGGGAGGAGTGAGGAGGAGCCGAGCGTGCGGCACCACCAGGGCCGGATGAAATCAGGCAGATGAACAAAACATCCGGGGAGGCCCAGACACTGCCCTCCCCACACAGACTGAACAGTGGCCTGGTGGGCCCTTGCTTGGGCCCTGGCCAGTGTCCAGGGCTGTGCCGGCTGCTCCCCCTCCTGCCCTTCCACTGTGCCTGGCTCAGCCCTCTGCTGCCCAGGCTCCACACTGTCCCCACCTGCCCATGGGGACCCTCAGACAGAAGCCCAGGCTGCTGGGCACCGTGAGGTCAGCCAACTCCCAGGCAGGGCCGGAGCAGCCAACTCAGAGGCAGGACAAGGGCAGCTGGCCGAGAACCCACTTATTGCATGGGAAGCAAAAAGCCAAGGCCAGGGACCCCACGCTGGCCAAGAACCTTCGTGGATGGATTGCCTTTGGCAAAACTGTCCCCAGCAGCCTTGGCCACACTGACCTCCCACGACACTCAGAGAATCCCTAGACCTCTGAATTCCTGGATCTTCCAGAATTCCTGGTTCTCTCTGCCTGCTCTTGAAAATCCGGACTGGAAAACCTAAAATAAGGCCGGCAATGGTTCCCCTTCCAGGCTTCCCAGGAGCACAGGGCCTGAGCAGTGTCTCCCTGCTGGCACCAGCCCCCCGGACCTCCCCGCAGGGCCCTTCAGAACCAACTGCCCCCCGTCCTGGCTGCTGAGTTTCCCTGCAGAGCAGAGGGCTGCCTTCACCTCCTCTAGTATTGCTCCCGGGGTGTCCAGGCCTGTCCCCTCTGCCGGCTCTCCCTGCACACTCTCACACACACTCATACACTCACTCCCACACACTCAGACACTCACACACACACACACACATACACTCACTCATACACACTCACACACACTCATACACTCACTCACACACTCACACACACTCAGACACTCTCACACACACACTCACACACACTCTCACATACACACTCACACACACTGACTCACACTCACACACACATACATACTCACACACACACATACACACACACACACTCACACACACGCACTCACATATAGACATAGATACACTAACATATATACACACTCACACATTCATACACATACACTCACACACTCATACACACACAAATACACATCCACATCTATACATGTACACGCACATATACTCACACACAACCACACACACACATATACACCTACACACAGTCACACACACAGACACACACATCCACATCTATACACGTACACACACATACACACAGAAACACACAGACACAAACACATCTACACACACAAATATATACTCACATACACACACATGCACTCATGCACACACACACATTCACACATCCACACGCACACATGCCCACAAACATGGGGAGACGGCCACAGGAGAGGCCCTCAGGCCACGGGAAGCTTGGCCGTGGTTTGGTAGAGGTTTTGGTGACCCAGACATGGCTCCTGACCACTGCACCTCTGGAACTTTATTTGCAGGAGGCACAGAAGAGCTGGCCGGGTGGCATGGGGCGGCCGGGTGGCACAGGGCAGCGGACTTAACGTCGGGTTTGACAACCTTCCTGGTCCTGATGCTCCTGATGGCTTATGTTGATGGTCTGTGACTCGCTGACACTAAACGGGGTGCCCCCATCCACACCCACACTCCCTGGGCTCACAGGGAGGGACCCTCTGCGTCTCTGGAGGAGGCCTGCACTCACAGGCCTCCTGCCCCTGCTCAGCCCTGAGGGGGCCCGGGCTGTAAACTGGGGTTCCCACAGGGCCTGCCCCAGGCCAGGCGAGGGTCTGAGTCAGGCCATGGTGGAGGCCATCTTGGAGTCATGGGCCTGAGGGGGAGGCCACACGGGAACCCCAACGCTCCAGGGGACACAGGCCTTGGGCCGATGTACCTCCGGCAGGGGGTGCACTGTGTATGACAGCGTTACCCGGGGAGACTCGACTCCGGCCAAAGGCCAAGGCTGCAGGAGGCTCCAGCCCCTCAACCGGCTGCCTGCCGGCTCAGGAGAGGCAGTGATGGCTGGCGGGGTCCCCGTGGCCACCACAATCCTGAGGAAACGCCGTGTGACCGGGGCCAGCCTGTCCCTGGCCTTGGCTCCCTTCTCAGAGCGCCTTGCCAGTTCACAAACTCATCCGGTGGGGGACTCCAGTTGGCTGAGGGGTGGCAGGTCCCCAAACCCCATCACGCTGCACCCCTGGTCTCCCCGGGGTCCACAGCTGCGTCCCCTGCAGCCTGATCTCCGAGGGGCTGGGGACAGACTGGCCCTGCTGAGCCCTGGGGTCAGTAGTAGGCCCCGAACAGGGTGGCCACCTTCTGCAGGATGGCCTTGTGGTTGGCATACAGCGAGATGCGCTTGTCCACGACCTGCCATCGGACGGACATCCCGGGGTCGCAGGCGTGCAGGTGCTGCAAGGAAAGGCACATCCTGACCCCGGAGTTGCCGCCAGCACCCAGCACCCCAAACGTTGCTCTGACCCCCATCTCTGGGCCTCAACTGGGCTTTTATCACACGGGAGCAAAAACACCCACTTCAGACGCAACTCAGAAAATGCCTGCAGAGCCCGAAAGCCCTCGGGCGAGAACAGGGCAGGCTCCTTGCTCGGAGGTTCTATCCTGCAGACGACGGCCTGGGTTTGCTCCCTGGGACCTCGTGGTCCCAGTTCTGGACTAGGGACGTGTCGGATTGAGCTAAATTCAGGGGACAGTATCCCCATAAAGGTGTATAAACCAGCCTCCCCCAATGCAAGCCTGGGGGCTCCTGGAGGACCCCATCTCAGGGTCCCCAGCAGCTCCTGCCCTGGCCCAGGAGCCCAGCAGACCCCTCCCTACAGGCCCTGCACCCTCCCCTCCTGGGAGCCTGCGGCCCGAGCCCCATACAGAGTTCAGCCTCTTCAGCTCCACGTCGCTCTGGTCTGGGAAGTGGACACTGACAGCCACCGTCTCGATCCAGGCGTTGTCTGTGTTCCGAGGGTCGTCCACGTAGCCTTTGTACACCTGGGGGGCAGCGCAGGGTGAGCCAGACCCCCCAACCGACCCTGAGCCTGCCGGCTTCCTCCAGAGCAAGGGCCTCCCTGTCCCGAGCTGGGCGGACCCTGGGACACTCTGAGCACAGCTGCATGGCACCCAGGCCCCCGGCGTGGCTCTCCCCCTGCCTGCCCAGCTGCTGCCACCCCAGCCTTCAGCCTTGACCAGTACCCTGAGGCGGCCCACAGGCTCACTCATGGCCCTCCTGGCCTCTGGCCTGCCATCGGGCCCACCCGGACTATCCACGGAGGGTTAAAAATGACAGTGGGCCTTGAAAACATTACAGTAAACCAGACGCCAGAGACCACATGCTGTGTGCTCCACGGAACATAAATGTCCCGAACAGGCAAACCCAGAGACAGAAGACAGATGAGGCGGCCAGGGGCTGGGGGAGGGAAGGAGTGACCGCGGATGGGGTGCGGGGGCTCTTTTTGGGGTGATGGAAATGTTTCAAATTAGACAGAGGTGATGGTCACACAGCACTGTCAATGTACTAGATGCCACGGAACGGTCTGCTTTAAAATGGTTAGTTTTATGCTGTTTGGATATCACCTGGATAAATTAACTATTTTTACAAAGTAAGGAAACGGGAGACGGCAGTGTCCCAGAGGCTAAAGCATGGGACAGGGACGAACCATAAGGACCAGCTGGTGCAGGTCAGAGCCGTGAGTACCAGCAATCGCCTGTTTCATCCTGACATGCGTAGAAACAGGACCGGTGACCACTTAGATGCCACCCAGAGGACTGTGTAAGCAAATCATGGCACAAAATACATAAAGTCTGCAAGACATTATATAGTCGTGAAAAACAAACCTTGCAAATATGAACCTAGAAATATGACCATCGCCGATTAAGTGAAAAAGCAAGGTGCAGAG